CGAACGCTAGCGAGCCGGGCGGCGGCGGCGGCGGCGGCGGCGAGGCGGCCGCCCTGGGCCTCAAGCTGGCCACGCTCAGCCTGCTGCTGTGCGTGAGCCTGGCGGGCAACGTGCTGTTCGCGCTGCTCATCGTGCGGGAGCGCAGCCTGCACCGCGCCCCGTACTACCTGCTGCTCGACCTGTGCCTGGCCGACGGGCTGCGCGCGCTCGCCTGCCTCCCGGCCGTCATGCTGGCAGCGCGGCGTGCGGCGGCCGCGGCGGGAGCGCCGCCGGGCGCGCTGGGCTGCAAGCTCCTCGCCTTCCTGGCCGCGCTCTTCTGCTTCCACGCCGCCTTCCTGCTGCTCGGCGTGGGCGTCACCCGCTACCTGGCCATAGCGCACCACCGCTTCTACGCCGAGCGCCTGGCCGGCTGGCCGTGCGCCGCCATGCTGGTGTGCGCCGCCTGGGCGCTGGCGCTGGCCGCGGCCTTCCCGCCCGTGCTGGACGGCGGCGGCGGCGACGACGAGGACGCGCCGTGCGCTCTGGAGCAGCGGCCCGACGGCGCCCCCGGCGCGCTCGGCTTCTTGCTGCTGCTGGCCGTGGTCGTGGGCGCCACGCACCTCGTCTACCTCCGCCTGCTCTTCTTCATCCATGACCGCCGCAAGATGCGGCCCGCGCGCCTCGTGCCCGCCGTCAGCCACGACTGGACCTTCCACGGCCCCGGCGCCACCGGCCAGGCGGCCGCCAACTGGACAGCGGGCTTCGGCCGCGGGCCCACGCCGCCAGCGCTCGTGGGCATCCGGCCCGCGGGGCCCGGCCGCGGCGCGCGCCGCCTCCTGGTGCTCGAGGAGTTCAAGACGGAGAAGAGGCTGTGCAAGATGTTCTATGCCGTCACCTTGCTCTTCCTGCTGCTCTGGGGGCCCTACGTCGTGGCCAGTTACCTGCGGGTCTTGGTGCGGCCCGGCGCCGTCCCCCAGGCCTACCTGACGGCCTCCGTGTGGCTGACCTTCGCCCAGGCCGGCATCAACCCTGTCGTGTGCTTCCTCTTTAACAGGGAGCTGAGGGACTGCTTCAGGGCCCAGTTCCCCTGCTGTCAGAGCCCCCAGACCACCCAGGCCTCTCTCCCCTGCGACCTGAAAGGCATTGGCCTATGAGGGGCTCGCCAGCCACGTACGCCTCACCCAGCCTTTCCCTTTGGCTCAGACAGTGATGTCGTCTCCCCCCTTTCTGCCCCCTTATTAATTTTCTAAGCTGCCTTCGAAATGACTCTCACCGTGGATAAGCACTTGGATTGTACAGAGAGACTACTTTTTCGGGGGTGGGGAGGGATGGGTTTCGATGTTCCAGCCCCACCCCAGCTCCGTGCATTTGTCCTACTTAGTATATTTTCATCCTGACAATAGGCCTTGGAGTCTGTACTGGTACTGACTGACGTCTTTTATTCCATGTGTTCTTTTTTTTTTTTTTTAATAAAGGCTAAACTAATTTTCTTCGTGCAACGTTTCCTAAAGACCATGGCCAGTTTTCTACAGAAGCTATTTTTGACAACCTCAAGTGGCATTACATTTTGCAGTGAAGTAGAGAAACCTAGGGGGACTTCACAAGTTTGATTTCTTGAGGGTCTTCTGTTAGAAGCAGGAGAAAGGGGGGAAATTGTCTTAAGTTCCCTCTGAATTGCCGGCCGTGGGGTCAGTTGCGCTGCCCTGGTTCATTGAAAGTGCTGAAAACTTTGTTCCGTCTTGATAATGAATTTAAAGAGCAGAAATGGGAGGGTAAAGTAGCAAGGCAGTGTTTTTTAAGCAGTAACAAGTAACAAGATTTGTTTCCTACCTTACTTTGTACAACTAGAAAATATACATCAGCAACCACTGCTCTCTGTATTATACCAATCTTGAGTGGAAACATTTCTGTAAAATTGTAACTTTTAAAAGAGTAAAAGTGTTTTGGTTAGTGATGGTGTGGAGAAAATACAGTATTGCATGTTTTTGTACTGATTGTGGTTCACGGATTGGGAGGGCTCTGAGAAGCAGAGTATGAATCAGAATTGCTTAGGTATTTTTTGCCAATAACAATTAAAATACGTTTATGGAAGCAGCTTGTGCTTTGAGAAGCCCAGTTTTATTCTGTCTTATGAAACTAATTTCCACTTTGAAAACTGTTCTTTTGTTCACGGCATAAATGGAATAAAATGATACTCTACTTCTACAAGACAAAGCATTTCCTTAAAATGTTTGCTAGGTTAAGCTGTGCTGTTCATCTGATGGATATTTTAAATTAATAATGACAACCATAATTTTAAATACTTGTTAGACACATTGTAATCTTAAATGGAAAGACTAAATTCTGCAAGTACTGTATAATATTTTTTGCTTATAATGCTACATTTTTATTAATGTACCTTCTGTTTTGAGGATTTATATCTGTATTTCTCTTTGCATTATACAAATATACCAGTATTTTCATTCTGGAGTGGTTTTTTGTTGCTGTTGTTTGAGGCTGTGACTGGTACTAAGACACTTCTAAATATGGTATTCATGTTCCATTATCCTTTTAGTGCATGCCTGTTTAGCTTAGTTGACCATCAGCATATTTAAGACATTTGGAGTCTTGTTAACTTAAAATGCAAGATAAAAATCTACAAATCTTCTCTTTAAAGGAAAGAAACAGTAGATGTATATACTGCTTTTATAACTTTTTTTATGAACATACAAAATATGAGTGTGAGCATTTTGATAAAAATAAGGGTGCAATAAATATATTGCAATTTACTATAGTTCAGCATAAAAAGAACTATTAACTGTTCAGTCCCAGAGGGTTAAGTCATAATAAGAGGGTGTGGCCAATTTATCTCTGACAAACATTATTTTGTCTATAGAAGACAGTCTGTGAAGACAGTCTCAAATTTGGAAAATATGAGTAAATATTACCCTATTTCTCCCCAGGTCATGAGACCAAATAGATGTTAATTATCCAAGGGCCGCTTGTCAGAAATCTCAGCTAACCTGAAGACAGAGAGGCCGGGGAAGTAAACCTCATCCAACCCCCCACCCACCCTAGTGACCCAAGTTAAAAAAAAAAAAAAGTCACCAAGCGCATGTGATTTTCAGAATATTTCGTACCTAGCATGGCTCAGGGACCAAGTCATCTGACTCCTGAACACATCCAGCCTTACATAGTAGACTGACTGTTGAAAACAACCTGTTGGCCCTATATACATGGCTTTGAGTTCATGGATATTTTTTTTCATAGGAGAATCCATAAGCGAGTGATTCTCAAATTTTAATATTCATTAGAATTACATGAAGTGCTTGCAGCATCCAGAGATAGGAGGGGCTGAGGTTGGACCCAAGAAAAAACATCTTTAAGAAGTGCACCAGCTGGCTGGAGAGATACCAATAGGCCTTTGTGTTCAGACATAAGATGTACTTTAGGTGCCACGTCTACAAACTGGGTTATCTGGTTTTGGTTTTGTTGTGTATTATTCTGATTAGATGGATGATTTCTAATGAGAGTTCAGGTGAAGAGTAATGAGAAATGACAGCCAAGTGTAAAGGGAACAGAAGAACAGAGGCAGAGAAATGAGCTGTCTATGGGAAAAGTGTGTAGAGGCAAAAAGCCCCTCACACCTCAACAGCTTTTTGGATCAATGAATCTATTAACATGTACTTTGACTGCTAATTATATTAATAAAACATCACCAAGAAAAAGTTTAGTTGTGTTTCAGAATACTCTACTCATTTTACCAGGACAGGTACAAGGTACAAGGTCTTTGGGGAAGACTTCTATTAAAATAGCTTATTTGTTTATTTGGGAAGTTAATTTAGCACATCTCCACCCTGCTCCCCGCCCCCTCCCCGGGATAAACAAGTTGCCACTGCACTTGAAGCAATAGAAAATAGATTTCTTGTATATAAACCTTCATCAGCATGTCCTGGCATGGAACTTTTGGGTCAAGAATAAGAATTTTTAGGTGTTTTGATATCATTGTGTCTAAAAGCTTTGCAGAAAAAGGATTATCTATTTACATTTCCAACTGTGTTCCTTTTTGAAAAAATGAAATATCTCAAGTGGGAAAGCATGTAACAAATCAATACCCATAATGACAATAATCTCTGTATCCATTATCCAGCCTTGACAAATCTTGTCAGTTTTGCCATATTGGTTTCCACTGCCCTTTTCTTTCCTTGACCTTTTCTCTTCTTTGTTCCTCTTCTCTTATTCCCTTCCTCCATCCTCCCCTCCCTCCCTTTCCTTTCTTCCTTTCTTTCCTTTTTTCCCTTTCTCTTTTTAAGAGAAATAAAACACGACACAATTATTTTGTCACAATTAAGTCTGGTCTCACCACCACCCCCTCCCTTCTCAAACGTCCTGACCACTAAGAGATAAAAGGATGCTGGGTCCTAGGGCTGACTTAGGGGTTCATTTTGCAGGGGGATGATCGGATGGGCAGGATCAGGTCTATCCATTTTGGTCTTTCTAAGGCCTACAGGATGGAGCACAAACGTCTTTGCCTGCCACAGAAGGCCTTTCATCGTCCGGCCCCTCCATGCCCCTGGCCTCACCCTCTCTGTGCATTTCTATCTCTTTCTTCTCTGATGACCTTTGTATAAGCTCTCCTTGGAAAGCCCATGTCCCCTTCTCTGTCTGGGAATCCTTCACCAACCCCTCCAGAGTAGAGGCAATATTCACAATATTTAAGAACTGGGATGGCGGAGGCATAACTTGCCTGTACATCCATACCCCTGGGTCCTGGCTAACCATCAAGTTTGTGCGGGCCCCAGATCCAAGACTTCTGTGCAAGCCTTTCTTGGCCCAGCCACTCCTCCTCTGGGCTTTCATGGCACATTGTGTTTACCTGCATGGATCCTCCTGCATGCCCATGGCTCCCAGCTCCCTTAGGTCTCACCTCTTCCCATTCCTTTCCCAGGCCCTGTCTTCCAGCCCCTCCATCACTGCCAGATCATACTGTGTCATACCAACATGGCTTTACATCTATTGTTCCTTGTGTCCAAAGTCCTCACTCCCTCCTCCCCCAACTCAATTGCTACTAAGCCTTCAGATGTAAGGGATGAATTCCTAGACATAAGGGGTGAACTAGCCTCCACAGAGGGGGAGATCATTCTAGGGCAGATCCTACAAAATTTTCAAGTCTCCAAACCCCCGCATTAGATCTGAGTGCCATGGTGGGTTGAGTAGCAAACGTACTGTCTTACTGGCATTTTGAGTTGTCTTTGCACTGAAGTGGCTGAGGTTATAAAATGTAGTGGATGCAGAATACCATTCTCTTGCAGATGTGTCATTCTTTGTCACCTGCCAAGACTACTTAGTTTCAGGATCCCCTCCATGAGGGGTAAAGGAGGTAATGGGAAACCTTCTCTACCCACCCGCATTCTAGACCACTGTTGCACTATTATTTAGCTGCTTCTGGAGTGAATGGAAGTTAAAGCAAAATTGATCTGAGTCCAAGGGGTTCTTTATGCCTTTTGTCCAACTCAGTTAGGCAAGACTTTTGGGGTCCAACCCAGCCCATGAATAAAGCTCTCTTGTCCCTCCACCCCCCCACACACACCACTTCCTTTCTTTTGGGATGCTTTTGGTGAGGATTAGATGCTTGGAGCCACAGCATCCGTCTTGCAACCATGAGAAAAGATACTGTCAACACAGTGAAGGTAGCAGACCAGAAAGATAAAAAAAAAAAAGCAGGCATCTATTTTTAACATTGTTGAGCTGCTTAACCAAACAAACAACCTCATATCTATAGACTTCTGGTCTTGAAATAAAAACTACTATTGCTTCAGGCATTAATATTCAGTGATTCAGGCACTAATATTGTGGCTTTTTGAAGTAACAATTAACTGCAACATATTAAAATATTTAATTAAAATATTCAATTCCCTCCACTCCTTTGACAGGTATGCTAGATATCCTGGAACTGTATTTACAAAGTCAAAAAAATTAGATTTATTTAATTCACCCTTTCCAACTATTGGGTCATTCAGCCTGCTGTTAACTGTTAAATTAACCTGCCTCTGGAAAAAGTAGATTTGACTTGATTTCTTAGAATGAAATACATTTGGAAGATTAAAAAGATACCTATTACTAGGCTGGTTTTGATCAGTGTATGTTTAAGATTTTGATTTCGTAAGTCTAGTTA